CCTCCACATGTCCATAATGAGATGCATACATCAGTGAACTCCTCCCATTCTGACGTGACAAACAGAGTATGTGATTATCAAGAGTGTCATTAGACGCTCTATGTAGGAATGCCAAAAAAAAGGCTCACTCGAAACATTTTTGCAGGTCATGCATTCAATGGACTACAATCCTTTTTTGGGCAACTTTTTCCGCAAAACAAAGGCTACAGGGTTAACGGTTCCACTACTGCTACCTCAGTGAATGCCAGCTGCCAGGTGCATGTATTATTATGTTACTTAGACAGTGGGTGGGCTCGACTTCCCTACACACAAGCTACAGTGAGTGTACAGCAAGTGACCGCCAACCAAAAAGGTAGTGTTGAATTGAGTGCCTTATTATTACTGAGTCCGAGAAAGAACTAACATTTACACACCAGACTTACATGAATCCGACAATCAACTGGCACTCCAGCTCCCAGAGCGTAATCCAATGACTTTGTATCTCCATCATCAATGCAGCATTGAGAAGACCGATCTCCTGTGTATACATTAGGTACATAGGCATGGGCAGCGATGGCATAAATGGTATAAAATTTCACTTACATTTAAATGAAGAATGATAATCTCCTGTCCATTCAAAAGAATTTTTCTAATACCCTCCTGTGCCATTGCAGTGTAATGAGAGAGAGAAATGGACACGTCACCAAAAGTATAGTAGTGGCCAGTGAAGAGTGAGGGGACTGAGGGTGTGGCCATCATACACCAGATCACCAGTGCGGATACGGAAGTAGGGAGCTGGTGAGGCTGTGTATGGTGTTGTACTGTGCTCTTGTGAGGGTAGAACCCTCCAATTGAGCAGTGATGAGGCGGCTATCTGGAGGAGGAGGAGAGGGCTGGGTACTAGACTCTCCAGAGATCATGACTTCATCTTCCTCTTGTTGGTGGGAGTCTGCCACACCCTTCAGTAGACTCTGGAACTCTGAGAATGAAGGACCTTGACTGATGTATGTATAATGTTTTAGGAACTCACTGTTACGGAGTCTCTCTGAAACATGTAACTGTCCTGCATTAGCCAAAGCCATACAGAATGTTGGGAACATCCCCACAACTCTATTCTTAGCCTCTCGGAGTGCCTCTACTATTATATGTACTTTCTCTAGTTGACTGCTCTTTGCCCAAACTTCTTCTCCTTGTGGCTGTGTCAGCAGCCTTCGTTGCACCAGGTGTGGCACTACTTCATCTGGTGACATCTCCTCCAACAGGTAGCTATAATTGGTATCATAGCCTGAAGCCCTAGTCGAATCACCTTCCACTCCAACTGCATGGCTGTAAATGAGAAAGTAAAGCACAACTCACTATAAACAAAAACAACTACCGAAAGAGGAGTCGTAGACAATGAAACCGTCAATGGTGAGAGTGGTGACGTGATGCTCCATCATGCTCTGACTGCTGGGCTTGACAGAGTTCTTGATGTAGGTCCCAGAGAACGAGGAACCCGCCATTCACCTCCACACACCCTCGAGCCACTTTCACGAGGTTGAGGGAGAAGTCATACAAGGACAGCTCCCGGCAGACTTGAATGCGAAACTTCTCAACATCTTCCAGTGTAGCGGTTCTCCAGTCCATTTGGTGCTTACTAACCATCGTGGTGAACCTTCCGTTGATATCTTCTGGCTCATCAGCGCAAACGTCCGAAATACTTCAAGCCTTGTTTCTTTCCTAAATGCTTTCATCTTATTCTCATACTTTTCCATCGTTTCTTTAGATCATCGCTGCCGTAGAGATCAACGACATACTTCAACAGAGTGTAGTGGAGAGTAGTCATATGTTCACCAATACATCAATTACATCCTCAGCTGATTCAGCTTGTTTTATTTCGGCTTTCACGTTAGTAACAAACCTTCTATGCTCCTTTTTGAGATTAACGGAAGACAGAGGAGGAGTAGCGCAACTTTTAACTGCAACACTATTGCTAAATTCTTCAGCAGCACAAACGGAGATATCGATGTATTCTTTCTGCAACTGATCAATCGTTGCTCTCGTTCAGTGATTTCTTTATCTAGTGAGTACGAAAGAATGAATTCTTAGGCTAGAACGAAAATTCACAGTCAGATTGGACTCCCTTTATACAATCTATCTTACATACGTGTATGTCAAAATTATGGCAGCCATGCTGTATTATCCATGTAGTGTATAATATTAGTACCACTCAACCAGTATTACACTGGCTAATGGATCACTCATTGACGCTGTTTCACCAGTCCCAATACTTTGAGCCTGCGCTACAAGGGGAGAGAAACCACCAATTCTTGCGTGTAGATCACCCACACACTCTAATTATGCCACGGCACTGTGGTTCTTGTGGTGTCTTCCCACATACATTGCTTCATGCTAGTTACTACTATGCTGTGGTGTACTATGATGTTGTGTGAACCTGCTCCTCCACTACACAGATGCAGGCTTTTAGCCACACCTGCTGCCCCAACGCCTACGAGGCAGATGCTTGTCTATGTTAGTATACGGATTGGTCGGTGTAGCACCAGTCTTCTCGACTATCCTAAAGTGCGCAAATTTGCGTCTATGGCGGTTACGTAATCGTGGTATTGCGCAAATATGCGTCTATGGCGGTTAATCGGTTGCTCCACCACGCATGTAACAACAATAAGGTGAGGCAGAATCTTTTTCCAAGGAAAAAGAAAAAGCTGCCCTTCAAACCCACGACACCCTGCAGTCTAGGCAAGCACTCTACCAACTGAGCTACCAGGGCAACTCAGCTGGTAGGGGTTCGAATCTACAACACAACACAACACAAAGGCAAGCCTCAAACCACTGTGCAGTGGCAGAGTAAACTCTCACTCAGTATGGCTACTACTGTGCCTCTCCCTCAACGCTGATCTCAGAGACTGAGAGCTCAGGAGCCGCTATCGCGGAAGTCCAGCTCCTTTCAGGGACTCCGCCCTGTTATACGCGCATGCAAGGCACACATAAGGAAAGGAGAAAATGGACAGGCTTTTGTGTTTTGGAAACCTAAAATTTCATCACAGGTGTTCACGATGCATGCACCACTGAAAACAAGGTTGTTCTCTAACCTAACCTTCTTTGATATCAGCCTTTGCTTCTCTGAGGAACCTTTTGTGCTCTTTTTTGAGATTAGACGGAAGACAGAGGAGGGAGTCAATGGCAACATTCTTAACCATTTCTTTAGCAGCACAAACAGATAAGTCAATGTATTCTTTCTGCAACTTATCAATCTTTCCTTCTTGATTTAAAAAGGCGGAAAATAGGCGTGTACAATTATCCCCCAAGCATAATTATGCTATATACAATGTGCACTGCTAGGCCTGTGGTTAGCTAGATTAGCACTTGAAAGGCTTTAGGTCAGATGGGGATTTCCCAACAGGAAGTGCTTTGAAAGATGAGTAGTTTTTTTGCCAGGAAGCTGAGGTAATTAATCATTCATAAGCACTCTTTTTCAGTATTACCCTGCTGGAAACACTGCATAGCACAGATGATCTTGTGGGCCACACTACATGGTCTAGCTAAAGCCAGTTTCTTGCTTAGGCTGGCAGCGATAAAGTGAGTAGCATCTGGGGCAATGCTGGACTGAGTACTCGTCCTCTGAGATACCTACTCATCCCCCCACAGTGTGAACAGGCAAACACTGGCCATAATTATTTTCAGTCCAAAACTTTAATACAAGCCAGCATAGAGCTGTGATTACTATTGGTTTGGTGGTGAGATGTCAGATGAAAGTCAGAAGGAGAGGGAAAAGGGGACAGACATAAAAATCCTTGGATTAAATTGTGGTTCTGAATCATCCCCACAAAGCTTGGCCACTGGTACGTATGTGCTGACTACTTTTGTTTTGCCACTGCATGAAGGGTGTCATCAATTCGTCCCCCTGCTTTTTGCTGAATAGCAAGAAATGTAACCCACTGGTCTTAGAGACATTGCTAGCCTCGTTCCTAGGCTTACCCTCTCCGCGCACACAACTTATTTTGCTCCCCCTCTCTGCGCACATAATATATTCGCATGACCTTTGCCCCCCTCCGCGTGCACAAACTTTATTCCCCCTCTCTGTGCGCACAATAACCTTTGGCATAAAATATGTGGACTGGAGAGAGAACGAGTCTAGCGGCTGCCTCAGTGAAAAAAATACTTGACTGTGAGAACAATGGATAGTAAAATTGCTCACTGCCTCAGTGAAAACAATCTGTCTAACCTGCGTAACCTTTGGTGTCTCCACTTTCAAATGAGGTATTGGCCACAGTCAGTGATGTACTGCTCATGGATAATGCTGCATCTCCAGCCCTTGTATTTGGTACTTCAGCTGTTGATACGTAGGAGAATAATTATTGCATCAGGATACTACTGTAGGATATACTCAACCTACCAGTTGTTAGCTTTGCTGAAAGCTTATTTGCCACGTCAGACATGGCAAACAGTAGGATAATTTAATGCATCGTAGAGATCTCTCCAGGTGCATGGCTCATCTTCTTCAACCTGGTCTTGATCATGAGGTTGAACTGTCATCCAGACCAAACCTTGGCTCAGCATCAATGTTTTCCAGCTCATGAACATCTAGTTTGAGTCGGGCCCCATGTTGTGCCATTTTGATCTGGCGGCCCACAGAGCCGCCTGGACTTCGGCAAGTCTTCAATGACCAACTGGAAGAATATGGATGGTATAGCCAGCTGAACATATATACTACCGCCCTCAAAATGTACGCATCTAAAAGGCGTAGTTTCCGTCGCTAACAACACCCGCCGACTGATCAGACATGGTCAAGATAAGCGACGTCGATGTTGACTGGCAGTTTTGTGATCCCAGCGGAGAGTAGAAGCTTCTTCTTCGTCCGTGTGTGTATGGATGGGTGCAGCAAATAAACAAAGCTATGCGCGTGCGCGCGCTGAATGCACTTGTGGACGGGGTGTGGGACTGACTCGGACTTCGCGCGCACGTTGTGACCGTTCGTGGTATAACTCTAGTGACGAGTCTGACTCGGCGCCTGTGGCCGTGATGCACCCTATGTCTGCAAGACTGGCGACTAGTCACCACACCACCCTCCGTTTTTGTGGCCATCACTCAACGATCGATTCTACGAGCTTCACTGATGACGTGGCTGCATGTCGCACTCGAATCCACGTGGGGAAAGCTGTACGTCAAGACCCACCATCGCTGCTTTGCCGTGAGCGAAGTCACCACTGCCAATATGCGGTTAAACGTCCAACACGTAAACACGCTTGTCCGCCAGCTTTGTAGAGCTAACCGAGTGCACTCCATTTTCGACCGAGGACACACGTACGATTCCTGATGCCTTTCCAAGTTCCGACCCGACCATGGCGGAACTGCAGGCGGAAGACGCTAGATGCGTTCTGTCTACTATATAAAACTAATTGTCAACCATGACAGAGTGGCTGTTGCAGTCCGCTCTCTGCCGTGTGTCGCGCCAGGACAGCCGGCGGAAAGACAGAGTTCACAGATCTCGGCTCTGGAGCTAGCGCGATCGTTCAAAGTGACCGGTGGTAGTGGCGACGAGAAGAAGAATCGCGTCGTTCTCTCGTACTCTTCCGAAGTGCCTCACAGTACGTGTGGTAAAGTGTACACACGACTGGAGTTCATCTGCAACCCTTCAGCTGGTCCAGAGGTGAGATTTATTACTGGTTCATAATACTCCTCTCCCTCTTGTTTCTATAAGATGTCAAAGTTTGACCACAACTTACAAAACGCTAATATTCATGGGCCGCATATGTTGAATCTGAGTAAATCGCTCAATATAATGGCCGCCAATATTTCCTGTTTCTGAAAGTCCCCGTCTTTTAATGTATCCTGTAATTAACAGCATAAGGAAAAATGTGAAATCTTGAGGCGACTACTCTATTAACGTGTAGTACATGTTTCAGAACAAATGCTTTTTAGTAAATCAACGCAAGCAAATTGTAGAGGAAAAACCTAATTTGTGTATGTGATGTCCATGCATGCATGCACATTGTCTAGTTGTTACAAGCAGCACGTGTGAGCTCGCCTATGAAGCTTGATAGTTGACTTGTCTCCATAATCGTGCTCAGATGGAAAGTACACGTGGAATATATCTCTGTGTGGAGGACTGGACTACGTCTGTCACCAGTCGTCACTGAATGCCTCGGTCTGCCAGGGCTACGACGGACACCAGAGGGTCAGCGGTCTGGCAGACTCTCGCCAGCTCCTCTTCTTCGACGGCTCTCTCAGTCTGAGACTCGGCGGAGGAGAGAAGTGTAATTCCAACGGGAAAAACCGCTCCACTCTTATCAGCTTTGAGTGTGACCAGTCGGTGCTGGCCGGCCAACCTCGCTATGTGCAGGTATGTGGTGTATAGAGGGCGAGGTAGTACATGTGTATTGATGCATCATAGCTAACATACAGTGTAGCTTCTACATTCGCTCGCGTGTGGAGAAACATCAGGTAGAAAAACAACCTATTGCTCACAGTCAAAGTGAATTTTTATTCCACACTCCTTGTAGGCTTTACTTTTTTTCCATTCACGCACTTGCAAGAAATGCAAAATAGTTAAACCCCTATTGGGGGGAACAGGAGTATGATATACTATAGTTGTATGTGAGCCTGTAAGGGTAAACCAAGAGTGAATGTTACTATATATTCCATACTCCAACTATATTCAAGACAGGTTGTTTGTCTTTTCTTTCACCCACATTCTCGCAACAAAAGCAAAACTGTTCAATTATGGTGGGATGCAGTACATTTGCCAGGCTGGAGGCTTTTTATATGTTTTTTGGGAAACCTTTAGGACATTTTACCTACTTGGCTTCCCTGCTTAAGCTAATACTCTACCATCTATGTTTTGTTTGTCATGATCTGCCTTCCCAGGAGGTGGACTGTGAGTATTCATTCGTGTGGCCGACTCTATTGGCCTGTCCTCACAAGGAACTGGAGTGCGTTGCCAGAGGAGGGAGATATGACCTTCGACCTCTGCTCCACTACCACAATTACATGGTCACCACGTCCGGCGACTACACCATTGCTGTGGGCGGATGCAGGTGACTTAAATTAATCCTTAGTGCGACCGCCAATTCAGCAAATTTCCAGATACTAACTCCCGATTTTAAAAGAGGCAAAACTTTAATGTTCGAGACTGCATAAATTAACCCTCAAGACCACTGCCAGTTTAAAGAGGCTAAATACATGTACATTTGGCAAATTCCAGATACATAATTAACCGTAAAGGCAACTGCCCATTTTTTTAAAAGAGGCACCAAAGTTAAACTTCGGCAAGTATATAAATTAAACCAGAAGTCAACTGCCAATTTTGTGTTAAAATAATTATAAACTGTGAAGGCAACTGCAAAAGGGTCACAATAAATTAAACAAGCTGTCAAAATTTGTCAAATTAATAAACCCTCAAGGCAACTCCCAATTTAAAAGAAGCACAGTAGTTAAATTTGGCCACACACACTCCCAGCTATGTTTCCCACTATGTTATTGTGTGTGCTCTATATTATGTCATCCTCCCTTTGCAGTGGCCTGGACTTTGAATCGCTGCCTCGCTGCCCGCAGGAGGCAGGTATGGGTGCCTGCAAGTTCCCCACGGCTGGCTCCGATGAGGGAGAGGTTCTGGGTTACCTGATGGGAGATATGGTGGAGGAGGTGACTGGGGTACTGAGACTCTCCTACTATAATGGAGCAAAGTGTGCGGGGAGTGGGAAGAGTAGAACTGTCAACATCTTCTTCCAATGTGAGATGGGAGCTGGACTGGTGAGTCACACAATGTATAGACCTTGTATACGCGCCTTCCTTAACCATGCATAATTAATATGTACACACATGCCTTCCTTAACCATGTATATGTATAATTATGTGTAGCATCCATACTCAATGATTCAATCATTCGTATGAATAATGTATGCACGTGGAGATTTGTGAGACTTACCCAAAAAGATGAAATGAAGGAAGGCCTAGTCACATGCAAGCCGGGTAGCTCCACATGTATACTTACATACATAGCTAACTGTCTGTATTGTAGCTAAGCCATTTTTGCTCTAGCTATAATATGCCAAATTAACTCCGGCCTTATAAGCGTAGAATGTCTGCAATTCAGGTGATTGTAGCGTTTGTGTTAAGCCCTTCTTACATCATGTCCTTCAGTGAGTATAGCCCTGCAAACCGTTAGGAACTTCTTTATGAATAGCACCAAACACAGGCAGTGTTCAGGACACCTTATGCTGCGTAAGCTGTAAAACCCTATTTCAAAAACTGTGTGTTTGTATAATTATACTGATTTTTGAATAAGTGGTAAAAAAAGTTTGTGCTTATTTTGTTACCGCATAATGTTGTATTATACACCTCTGTCAGGGGGTGCCCATTGAGAGAGACAGTAGTGACGACAGCTGTATCACCAGCATCGACTGGCTCACTCAGTACGCCTGTCCTCTGGACGCAGTCAGCACCAATGAATGGAACATCTCTAACCCCGTCACCCACCAGAACTTTGACCTCACCAAACTGAGCCCCGTCCTCTCTCAGACTTTTATCGAGAACGGCATCACCTACAACTACACAGTCGCACTCGGCGGGCATCAAATAGAATGCGGGACGTTGGGCAAAGACTACCAGAACCCCATAGGAGCGTGCCAGGTCAGAGTTGACACGGGGAAATCGTTCATTCTCGGTCGACGAAACACCACCCTGCGGTTTGTTGGGGAGGAACTGCGAGCCGAGTATCGCAACGGGAACTTCTGTCACCATGTCGATGCCCCCAGGAGGACCGTTTTAACGTTTGTGTGCAACTCTACGGCGCCCGAGTCGGGTTACTTGGAGGTTTTGCCCGAGGAGGAGTGCGAGTATACGTTCAACGTTCACACACCGAAGGCTTGTCAGCGGAACAATGCTTCGTCGGTGGAGTGTTTTGTACAGGGATATGCGGTGTTGGGAAGTATGACGTCATTCAGAGTACCTCCAGTTAAAGCACAGTCTGGGACTGCGTACCTGGCCGTGTGTGGTCCCATATCAGCTGACAACCAGCTGATCGTACAAGCCGCATCGGTTTGCCCGTACGGAGCTGCTGCGTGTGTAGTACAGGATGGGTAAGACGATACTCTATTCCATATTTACGTACCTCGTGATGTTGCACGTGCACATATTTGCAATTGCGTAAAGTGAGCCCTCCTAGTCGTTTCGATTGTAGCCTTGAACGCTGCCACACTTTATCTCTGAACACGAGTGAACATTGATTAGAGTGGTTCGCTGTTACTACTAGACAAAAGTAATGTTCTACGTGTACATACTATAGCTGGCGAGCAAATTTGTTTTTTCGACAACGACCAAGAAAGACATATGTACCGTAATGCCTTATGTACATACCTCTAAATATACGAAACTCCAAAAATTACTGTGCTTGCTGTGCTTGCTCTGTGTGACTCTGCATGTTCACTCACCCCACTAATACCTTGTGTTTGTTCTACATAGTAAGTGACATGTTTACCTACACCCCCAACCAACCCACCCATACAGTAAGGCGGTGAGTCTGGGGCAGGCCAGCTCTGCCCCGACCCTCCTGAAGGGAGGTGGAGGGTGTGGTCCTGGAGTACAGGAATGGGGACCTGTGCAGAGGAGGCCCGGCCAGATGGAGGTCGACTCTCGTCCTCTCCTGTGACAGAGATGTCGCTATGGTGAGTGTCTGCAGTCTCAGTAATAATTGGCTAGCAAAGCGAGCCCACCTAGTTGTCTGAATGTGTGATGATTTTTCCATTCCAGTATAATATATCCCTCCGTAACGGTGAACTGGCACATACTGTAATGTTCTAAATGCACGCAAAAACATTTGCGAAATATTGAACTGCTCACTTTGCTTGCTGTACTCTATAGGGGTATCCTGAGGCAGTGTTAAGCAGTGAAGACTGCAGCTATACTTTCACCTGGCACAGCTCCTTTGCCTGTCCCGTGGAGGTCTTCAGCACCAACTCCTCCGACAGCATCTGCTCGTTCCGAGACCCTGCGGGGGGCTCCCTGTATAATTTCCATTCGATTGCCTCGCACGACATCCCCGTTCCGGACTCGGATACCAAGTACCACCTGAGACTGTGTGGAACCGCGACGCAAGCTCCCAGCGGGTGTGGGTCTAGAGTCGGTGTGTGTAGCTCAGACGGCACGGAGACTAAGACTCTAGTCAACGCTCGCCACAAGATTGTGATCGTCTCCCATGCTCCGCATACATTTGAGGTGGTGTTTGATAGCGGAGCACCGTGTGGCACTGACTCCCAGTGGACGTCTGTGGTGACGCTGGTGTGCAAGTGGCGGGGAGGAACGGAGCATCCCGTGTTCGTCTCAAGCAGCGACTGTACTCTGAGGTTCCTGTGGAAGAGTTCTCTGTTTTGCGACGGACGAGAGACGTGTGCGGCTGAGGACAAGGACAGCGGATACACCTACGACCTGGATTCCCTATTGAGCAGCACTTGGAATGTGAGGAATTATGTCATACCACTCCATATACTAGGGAAGGTTTGAAGGAACATGTGTGTACCCCACACGAGCGAACAAAGTGTTGTCACTGACCCACTTGTTCTGACTAGATCGGTAGTGCACCATTCTCTCGCGGTTTCATAATGGTTTGCACTATTGTCCTTTATGATCATTTTCCATTGTTCTTAGTTTTAAACCCATGTTCACAACCTGTTTTTCATATGGCATATACTATGCATTGAGTTACCAATAGCCTCAAAACTATCATGTATTTCTCTGTTGTTGGGATACTTATATTGGGTAGTACTTCAACGTTTTTGCTGGTATGTTGTGTGGTTGTTATCCTCTCATTGCCCCAGGGGTTGGTTCATGGGGAGAAGGGAAGGTTTGAACTGGGAGTGTGTCGCAGTCTTAACCCTTTCTCTTCTGGCAACCACTGCTCGTCTCCTGCCGGCATCTGCTGGCACAAGAGTGGCTCTGAACACATTGTGAGTTGAAAGCTCTATCTCTCTCTCTGTTCACCTCTGGTATATAGCTCAGTTGGTAGAGCGCTCGCCTAGACTGCAGAGTGTCGTGGGTTCGAATCCCACCTAGGGCAGCTCTTCTTATTAAGAAAGAGCTGTCCTGGCTGTAGTTGACTTGTTTGCCTTGCCTTGCCTCGCTACCAAGTTGTTGAGACATGCTGAGTTGAATTACCGCGTGTGTGTGTCCATAAACATACACTTTTAATGACCAGGCTTCTCCCCAACAGCAATGTGAAAATTGTAACCTGTGTCCTCCCTTATGTGTATGTATATATAATGTATTGTGAAGAAAGTACTTGGTATGAAACTCCAACCCACAACACTCTGCCCTCTAGCAGAGTGTTCTACCAGTGTGCAATACCAAGTCGACCAAGTTGTATTTCTTTTTTCGTCAGAATCTCGGGCACATGACGGGACCTCCAGTGTACGTGGGGGGAGAGAGTCCACACATACTGTTGAACTATACCGATGGTGACGTGTGCTCTGAGGCTGCGACTGGCCGGAAACACTCCACCACTGTCTCCCTCACTTGTGGGCCGGGGAAGAGTGTAAGTACAGTAGCAGGGGTTTAACCCTCGCTGTGCAGGCACAGTAAGGTTTGCTGTAGTTGCTTTGTGTATGTATGTGGTTTTAGTCATTCTGTCAGTGTATCTGTCTGTTTTTTTCCATTCGTACAATGCTCATTACCGAAGGCCTCTTCTTGGGGTTTCTTGGTTTTTGAGACTTGAAATGTACCCGCCAAGAGTTGTATTGTAGTAAAAATGCTAAAATTGTCAGCTCTCACACCGTGCGTGACAACTTCCAATGCATACAGAATGATACGGCAGTATGTGCTTGATATTGCTTTGCCATTTTTTCTCCCCATCCATTTTTACTTGCTCTTCTTTGCCTGACATGTCCTCACTTTTTGTTTACAATCCTCACTTTATCCACATTTTGACACAACATTTACACGGCCTGTCTCCTCCCTCCAGACTCCACTGACCTTGTAGCTTATTTGCCGTTCTCTCTCTCCCCATTTTTACATGGCCTGTCCCCTCCCTCCAGACTCCACTGACTCTGGAGAGCAGTGGTCCATGCAGCCACACTCTGGACTGGGAGACTCCGTACGCCTGCAGACCTCACGTCAACTACACTCTGGCCTGCGTCTGGAACGACTCCTCCTCGGGACTCCAGTTCAACCTCTCCAGTCTCGCCAAACCCATCACGGCAAGTCAAACAACCCCAGTGGTATATATTACCTTATTGGCATAGTAGAATTGAACCCCTGAAATATTATGTTAAGTTACCTGCTTATTACAGGATGTTAGATCACACCATTGGTCTGCCTCACTCCAGGTGGACGCTGCAGACTGGAATATCGATGTGTGTCTGTGTCCCAGTGAGGCCTGTAGCAAGTGGGGCGGGGCCAAGGTCTCCGCCCACCACACCTCCTCCGCCCCCTCCGCCCAACCCCAGAGCTGGGGGGAGTTCGGTAGGCTCTCTGTCTCCAGTGCTAACAGTGGACCAGTCATCACTTTCACTAGTGGAGATGTCTGCAGAGGTGACTATGTGGTGGTTGTAGGTTAGCACTCCTTGGGGGGCACTGGAAGGCTAGGTTTGCAATAATTATGTCGCATTGCCCCGTAGCGCTGTGCCGCATTACCGCGCCACAAGGATAGAATATCTTTTATCTTTGCGGCCCGATGCAACGGGACATGTGATGTATATAATTGTGAAACCAGTCTCATCCTGAGAAGTGTCAGCAAACCTATAGAGGTATATGTATGTTTCAACTGACTGGCCAACATCTGACTATGGAATTAGCTTAAATGTACCTATATTTTTATGGAAGGTTGTTTACTGTTACTAACCAACTGACATAACACGTAGCAAAGGACCTCGGCCAAGCAAAGTTGCTATTTTTTCCACTGCACCTCAGGTACGACGAAATACAAGACAGACATCTACATGGAGTGTGACCGATCCATCACCACTGACGACAGCAAGCCAGTCTTCCAACAGGTAATGTATGCGTAATGTAGTATCATGCACGGAATGTAGTGAAGCAGTGAATGTGCATAGTATGGTCTTTTGAATGTGCAGCAAGTACACCACAGTCAGCCCCCCTCCCCCTTCTTCCTCAATTGCTCCGTGGGTAAAACCCTGTGTCTTCCTCAATTGCTCCGTGGGTAAAACCCTGTGTCTTCCTCAATTGCTCCGTGGGTAAAACCCTGTGTCTTCCTCAATTGCTCCGTGGGTAAAACCCTGTGTCTTCCTCAATTGCTCTGTGGGTAAAACCCTGTGTCTTCCTCAATTGCTCTGTGGGTAAAACCCTGTGTCTTCCTCAATTGCTCCGTGCGTAAAACCCTGTGTCTTCCTCAATTGCTCCGTGGGTAAAACCCTGTGTCTTCCTCTATTGCTCCATGGGTAAAACCCTGTGTCTTCCTCAATTGCTCTGTGGGTAAAACCCTGTGTCTTCCTCAATTGCTCCGTGCGTAAAACCCTGTGTCTTCCTCAATTGCTCTGTGGGTAAAACCCTGTGTCTTCCTCAATTGCTCAGTGGGTAAAACCCTGTGTCTTCTCAATTGCTCGTGGGTAAAACCCTGTGTCTTCCTCAATTGCTGAGTGGGTAAAACCCTGTGTCTTCCTCAATTGCTCTGTGGGTAAAACCCTGTGTTTATGCTAAGAAGTAGTCATATCAAAACTGATTTTGTTTTCATGTTTCAATCTTCAGCCTGACTTATGTATGTACAATTGTGAATGTTGTTGGTTGTGTGATGACTGCAGAGCATGTCAAGAGGCTGTACGAAGGTGCTGTTCTGGTCCAGTCCATATGCGTGTCACAGTGAGAGGACCAGCTGTACTCACACTGCGGGGGACAAGTTCTTTGACTTCACTCCACTCCAGGCTAACCCTGGGGAGATGGCCTGGAAGACACACACAAGTAACATAACCTTAGACCTTAGACACATACACATGTGTGTAGTTGCTATTGTATGCCATAATGGACACACCACAGGTAACCTTAGACACATACACATGTGTGTAGTTGCTATTGTATGCCATAATGGACACACCACAGGTAACCTTAGACACATACACATGTGTGTAGTTGCTATTGTATGCCATAATGGACACACCACAGGTAACCTTAGACACATACACATGTGTGTAGTTGCTATTGTATGCCATAATGGACACACCACAGGTAACCTTAGACACATACACATGTGTGTACAATCTCTGTTGCTAGCCTACTGAACTAAGGCTAACCAAATGCAATAGCCATGTACATGCTGTACAAACTAGAAAGAAGGCTTGATGAACACAGGTTGTGAACTGAGAAGAGAAATATTCTGAGTGTTCTGCTATGTTCATACACACGAGGAGATATTGTCAGGAATCTAGAGCACATTTGCTAATATGAGCATGATGAGTTACTCTCTGTTTTCTACAATATAGCGGAGATGAGTACTATGTCAACTTGTGCGGATCAATTCCAGAATTCACTGGTGAGCATCCCCAGCATCCATACTCAACACATACACACACACACACACCACGATCTCTCTCCCTCCTCCCAGGTTGTGACCCAGAGACTGCAGTCTGTCTGCACACGTCAAAGGGAGGATGGTTGAATATTGGAATGACCTCCACTCAGGAGATTATTGGAACTAGTGAGACATCTCCCACTGCCCCTTTCCCCCCTTCACTTCATTCACTGTACTTCTCATAATCCTTTATTGACGAGCAAAGCGAGTCTAGTCGTATTTGTCTCAATGCAGGCTTTTTTCCATACTGATCTGTGACAAGCACTGCACATCCCCTAATGCTCTACGTGATTCTAACTATACTTTTGCGCTAACCAAAAATTAGTTGCATTTGTTCTATAGTAGGTATGCAGCACCACGTTTTGCTTTTGGATGTTTTGGCTTGTGCAAGTTGATCAGAGGAAAATTTTTATAAATAATAGATAAAACTCTGTGTTATAACAAGAGAGTGGAGAGTTGATAATGGGGGAGACCCACCCTAAATGAACCCCTATAGAAGTATTTCACATGATATGTTTTATCGTCTATTTCTTTGCAGCTGATGATCACATTCAGATCAAGTTCAGCGGGAGACACAAGTGCAGAGACGCGACCTCTCACGTCACCATTGACATGAGCTGCGGCCTCTCTGGCCTAACACTGGACAGGTCTGCTTATTATTATACCACACTGGGTGGATACATACGTACATATGTACCTGTATATCTCTGGTCTTACCTTGTCTTGTTCACTTCTCTATACTTAGAAATGATGAGAACCTGTGTACTTATGAGTTCTTGTGGAGCACACCTTACGCCTGCCACGTGGAGGACACGTGAGTTTGCAGGCGTCTTATTTCCTTATTTATCCTATACATGGATGATGTAGGTCAGTCTAGTTATTTCCACAGTTCTGCAGGATGCATGATGTAATAGTAATAGAGTTGTAGTCTAAGTTATGGACTATATTTCCCATGTGTTCTGTAGGATTCAGAAATGGACAAAGTGTGAAGATCAGCTGAAGTCAAATGAATATGATGGACTTGTTTTTCTACCAAACAAACTAAAGAGCTCTGAAGGGTGTGTAATGTACATTATATGTTAATACAAAGTGTTGGGATGGTGGATCTGGAGTCATGGACCATCCGCAACATGTTGCCGATTATGATGTGTAATTAATGAAGGGTTACCATTACAGGATTGGGCAAGCAGGGTTGTCTTAATGCGAGTGGTGTCCAAGGCAAAGTATGCAACTGTATACCTGTAGGAAACTATTTAGTCCCGGGTGGGATACACACATAGATATATAACTTTCCAACCTCACTGAATGGTGATCTGTTGTTATCTGTGTGTGTGTCTGTGTCCCCAGGATGTTGGTAGTGGAGGGAGACTCAGCTCAGAGGACGTTCCACGTCAGTCTGTGTGGCGGCAACTCCCACTGTCCTCACGGCTCCTCCGTCTGCTACACCGACAGCTCCGGACTCACCACCAATGTCGCCACCTCCTCTCTCCAGACCATCATGACTCAAGGTTAGACACATCGAACTGTCTCTCTCTCAACCAATCACAAGCTTCGAAGAATCTCCTTGTTACTTCATTTATGAGTCAGGAAATATGTTGTTTACTCAATACATAGAGTACACCATAAGAAGAACAATGGCAAAGAATAATAGAACTCGGGACTCAAAACTTAGTATAAATCCGAATCATATACACTTTTTGTAAACTAAACAGCTCATGTACAGGTCATTGTTGTTTAGCACACAGGGAAAGATAAAGCTTAAAATGTGCATGCGCTAATAGGCCAAGGCGATGTAAAATCTTAGTTTGGCAAGCAGTTTTGAAGTTTGAGGTCGTGCACCAATGCGACACTGTAGCTCTATACACTGCACCATGAGTTGTGTATAGGACGTCGATGTGGATTCAGATGACCTCAATACTGAACGGTTTCTCTCCGCGCTCGTGTGCAATGTGGAGTGTGTGGACGACAGTGCTGACGTCAGCAGAGCTGAACTGTGAGCAACTGTTTCTTAGCAGTGAACAAGGTTTGAGAGTGAATGTCTCCACAGAGGGAGTTTGTGAAAGTCACTACGTCGACGCTGGCAGTGAGAGGCACACATTCTATCACTTTCACATGTGGACCAAGAAGGCTGCTCCTTGTAAGAACACTGCAATTAGCAACAACAGTGTTTGTTCTGTTTGGATCTTAGGCATTAACTACCTAGACATGCTAATGAGTTCTGTCAAGTACTGGGAAACATACATCACATAGGTGGACCCTAAATGCTAGTATTGTATGTGAATTGGCTAACTGTGTTTACTGTAGGCCATGTGCATCTTGCGCAGTGCTAGAAATAAGATTGAGTACAAGTTCTCTGTTAAGTGCATGGGTTATAAGAGCTGCACGATAACTCTTCACAGGTTACCACAGAGTAATAATCTCTTCCCCATCTCATGCCTGGTAGATTCAAAGAATGGTTCAATAATGTTTCTCTGCAGCTCTACAACAACCAACCACAGCACCGTACACTCCCACCATCATCACAAGAGTACAGATAATGGCTGGGAGACCACAGTGGTGGCAGTGGTTCGTCTGGCTCTGGTGGTACCTCAGCGACCGTGTGGCTCTGTTGGTCACACTAGTGGTACTGATGTAGCGCATCTTCTTGGCTTTATTTCTACAAGAAGAGAGACGGTTAAGCTAAGAAGGAGAACCCCACAGTCTGTAGCTCATCAGATTGTGTTCTTGTAGAGGGATAGATCTATTCACTGTTCAGACCAGTCATACTGAACCGGTACCAGTATGTGAAAAGGTAGTACAATAATGTGCAGTGTACAGAAGATTGCCTCGCTAAAAAAACTGGGATCTGGAGAGGAAGAGGTAGGGGATTAGGACGAAGTCGTGTGGTGGATGTTTGTCCTCTTCTACCCCACGAAATTGGACCGAGAATCATGAGACCACAAGTGTTTGACCTATCAACCGCACATACCCTGCCATCCTCCTCTCCCTTTACTGCTGTCTATACTACCACACAAAACGATCAAAATCCAGACCTACACTCAAATCTGCGGATTGAAGCTTTCCCAAATATTACTGTGGCCATCTTAATTCCAGACTATCTTACTTGCCAAAAACCAGACTAGCTAAGTGTTGTAGCTAGCCACCCAGTGTTTCTGCTCTATACTGTGCAGTTACCATGACTCTTACGAGAGACATCTCTACTGGAGGAGGGTAGTAGTGGGAGTGAACATGGGGAGGGGAGTGGGGAGGAAGAGGGGAGGGGGAGGAGGGAGGGAGGAAGAGAGACCCCGTGACCAAGAGAGAACTCCTTAATTATAGTGGTACTTAGTTGTCTCACAACGTACCACATAATACTTCACTGCCATTGTTTTACTATCCTTGATCCAGTATTGCTTGGCTGGAACAATTCAGCACAATTTGCCAAGTCAGCAAGAACACGTGCTAGTGTATGTCCGCTGTCATATTGTGGTACTTGATGACTAGTACGCTTGATTATGTCAACAACCAAGATATCAGGTAATAAACAGACACACGTAATGATCAGTTAAGGTTAGAGTACAATGTTTCTATTGCTGCTTTAAGTTCCATTTCCGTCTCCATAGAGTTGCTCCTAATGCACGATCTCAAGTATCGTTGTAATTCTTTTGGAACTTCTTCCCTCCACCCCTTCCTCTTTCCCGGTTGTCGTAGGGAGCTTCCTCCAACATCTGTCCTCGGAACCTACTGACTACTTCATCTACTTCCTCTTTTCTTTGTGAAGATGTCTCAGGATGCTGTATATAGGAAATATGGATAATGTGTTTCCTACAGTCCAATGCATGTGTGGATACAGTGAATCCAATGCATGTTTGGCAAACAAGTGTGAAATCCAAACGCAATGTCTCCGGTGTGTGCCATGCGTCGCGTAAACATACACATAGTTCAGAAGGCCAGGGAAAGAGTGGTAGCTTAGTCGGTAGTAGTAGCCTAGAAAGCAGAGTGTCGCGGGTTGAAGTCCCACCTAGGGCAGCTCTTCTCTTTTCCAGCAAAAAAGAGTTGTACTGGGTGTAGTTGACTTGCTTGCTTGCCCTTGCCATTCTATCTCACCTTGCGTTTGTCACAATGCAATGTGCATCATCCACTGTGATACTTGCAACACTTTGGACATTGGTAGTATGGCAGGATAGAGAAGCTATGTCTTACCTCCACATCAGTGGTGCTATCTGGCTGCCCCCAGTGGTTTAGTTCATTGCAGACATCAGGAAACTTATTAGCAGATGCAACACCCAATGCTGTCACACCCGCCTACAGTGGTGACAGATAATTAGATAATATATTGACGTATTTTGGCAAGTGAAGTGAGCAGTTAGATTTTTTGAGCGTAATCATAATCACGCGTAACATCATGTTATGTGCAGTGGTCGACATTACATAATGAAAATTCAGCATTCAGAGGACTAGGCAGGCAAGTGAAGTTATGAGTGTAGCTCACTGAATTCCTGATCAGTGGGTCAGCTCCATGTTCATGAGGACCTTCACTGTGGCCAGATGACCTCCCTTGCAGGCAAACATCGGAGCTGTGTATCCTGTATTCTATGGAGGACAGATGTAGCTACAATTGAACCCATCAAGTATAAAATTTACCCTCGCACCCATGGGATGGGTTACAATAGTTGGGTCTGTCTCTGTTACTTTCAATCTCACTTCTCGGGTGTTTGTTAGTCTCACAAACAATACCACCTACCGGTGGTGAAGGTTAGAAATTTCGAGCGGTTTTCCCTGTTGCTAAGCTAGAGCGCTTCCGCTAATGCTGCGGAGAATGCGCATGCGGTTATTATGCTAATTCGACCGGGTCCGCTTGCTCTGTGCATCTTGAAGGCACAAGAAGTCGCAACGAAGGGCCGGGTGTATCGAGTCCCGCATGCTATCTACTACTGTAGCTAGCCCGTGTCAGACTCTCTGCCGCGAGCTATACTAGCGGGAGACCACCACAAAATAGCCCAGCCCATCAATTAGCAGTACCGCGCATGCGCAGTTCGCCGAGGGTTTGCACTGTAGTGCTCTTCATATAACGTCAAGCACAGCACTGCACAAGCTATCACAATGGGTATATACAATTGTCCTACTTTAACTTGCTGTGATACTCAACTGATTGCTGGAGGTTAGGATTAGCTTGAGAGTCAAGTAGCAGTTTTGCCATCTCTGAGTCTCCTTGTTCACAACACATCATCAGAGGAGAGAGTCCTCCCTGCACACAAACCACACATACAAACAACCTCTAATGTCACATGTGTTACTAACACACCTGCTCCATTTGGTTCACATCGGCATTAGCTTGTACCAAGTCTCTGACCATTGCCAGGTTTTTGTGTCTTACGGCCTGCAGTAGTGGAGTCTGTCCACGCTGGAGGAGATAATAAGAGTCAGAAGTGCAGTTGGAGAGTTAGTAAGATTACGTTATTGCAGCCATTTGGGTAGGCACCAGCTCTCAGGAGGACAGAAGCTGTGGTCAAGTCATTGTTCTGACAGGCTAGCAACAGTGCTGTGTCATTATACTGCAGTAAGAACACCATCATTGTACTCCTTGCAACAATAACCAATCCCATAATACCTTTGGTAATAAGGTCTACTCTGGCTCCATGTTGTAATAGCTTTGTCCACCACCTCCACATGTCCGTGCTGAGAAGCTACAATCAGTGAACTCCTCCCATCCTAATCAAACATTACACTGCAGCTGATGATGTGCTCAGTATGGAGAGTATAGTAGTGTGTGGTCAAAAACTATTAGCAAACTTGTGAGGCAAACTGACATTACTAGGCTATCTCATTCTATTATCATACACCGAGATTTTGAACATATTGTTTGTTTACAGGGAGACATGAAAACCATGAGATCCATGATTAAAGCTTTCTCCTTTTATTACCATACATAGAGTTGTGAATATCCTCTATACAACGTACTCCCTAATGAACCAGTCGTACTTTTATTACCATATATTATTTAAAATACATAGCATTTTTAATTTACTTGTCTCCACTCATTTTTATATACCACTACGTATTATCTCTGTGGAAGGGGGCAAGCCCCCTATAAAAATTAATAAGAGAATGCCTGTTGTCATGGAAATGATGTAATACGTATGCGTACCAAGTTTGTGTGCAGTCGTTAGCAAGTTTGAGGAGTGAAGAAAGAAAATGCTATTTGTTGTCATGGTTGTCATGGAAACGATGTAATACGCGTGCGCACCAAGTTTCACCTCCATGTGCTACAGTTAGGAAGTTTGAGGAGTGAAGAAGTAATTTTAAAGAAAAGTGCCTGAGGCTATTTGTTGTTGTGGTCGTCATGGAAACGATGTAATACACATGTGCACCAAGTTTCACTTCCATGCGTGCTATAGTTAGCAAGTTTGAGGAGTGAAGAAGTAAAAGTGCCTGAGGCTATTTGTTGTTGTGGTCGTCATGGAAACGATGTTACACACATGCGTACCAAGTTTCATCTCCATGCGTGGTACCGTTAGCGAGTTTGAGGAGTGAAGAAGTAATTTTAAAGAAAAGTGCCTGAGGCTATTTGTTGTTGTGGTCGTCATGGAAACGATGTTACACACATGCGTACCAAGTTTCATCTCCATGCGTGGTACCGTTAGCGAGTTTGAGGAGTGAAGAAGTAATTTTAAAGAAAAGTGCCTGAGGCTATTTGTTGTTGTTGTCGTCATGGAAACGATATAATACACATGCGCACCAAGTTTCACCTTCATGCGTGCTACAATTAGCAAGTTTGAGGAGTGAAGAAGTGGTGTTAAAGAAAATGCCTGAGGCTTTTTTCAAACAAAATGTGGTCGTCATGGAAACAAGTAATCGTCATGGAAATGATATAATAGGCATATGTACCAAGTTTCATCTCTATGTGTGCTACCATTGCAGAGTTTGAGGAGTGAAGAAGTAAATTTAAAGAAGAGTGCCTGAGGCTATTTGTTGTTGTTTACAAATGTATATTGTTGTAATTTTGATGTTGGTGATTGAATACATTATGGGTATATACAAAGTTTCGTTCACATATCTCTTTGTGAGTTATACTGACACATGTGATCCCATTATAATGTATTGCCTGGGGCTATTTGTTGTTGTTTACAAAGAAATAAGTATGACCAGTCTCTTCGGGTGACGGATATCTAAATTCTTACGAAATTTCATGACTATAATATGTTGTTTAATTTTTTAGTTATGGGTGTTGAATCTGAAGAAGAAGGAGAACAAGAAGATGAACAAAACTCCCTATCTTAGAACCTCTCATGAATAATTCCCTTTGATGTTGAGTGTATAAAACCCGTAGTAGTGGGTCTGCCAGGTATCTAAGTACTAAGTCTCTAAGTTGCAAGTTAGATCACTGTGAAGAATTTAGATCACTGAGGTTTCACAAAGGTCAAATCCATAATAATCAAGGAGTGGGAAGGCCTATTTGCTCCTAGTAGCTTCGAGACTGCCGCCGAGTTCATCATACAAGCATCGCAGCGCTCAGCCCGTGTCGCTTGGACGATTTGTTGTTGGTCGCTAGTCAGGCGTTTCCCGGTAAAAAGCCATGTTCAACGTCTGACTAGCGACAAACAACAAATCGCGTCCAGATCAAGCGACGCGGGCTGAGCGCTCCAGTGGCAGTGTCTTGCTCCGGCGGGGCTTGCAGGATATATCCGTCCAGTTGCTGCGATGTTTGTACGATGAACGCGTCCTGCTCGGCGGCAGTCTCGAAGCTATGAGCAAATGGGCCATCCCCGTTTCCCAGCCTAAATTCTGGCTGGCAGGGCCAACTGGGTAACGGGTCTTGCACACTATCGAAAGACTAAGCGAAACTGCGCTCTCCGTGCCGCGGTTCTAAGCCAGTTAGACCACTGAACTCGTCTCTCCTCGGTTTGTAGTGACCTCGGCTCCGCCTCGGTCACTATTGCGTCATTCTCACCGCTCCCCTCGGGTTATTCAAACCTCGTAGTGACTCGTTCCAGTGATCTAACCTATACATAGGGATTGGCATGGTACCTAGCATCATAGATGTATGGGGCTATGTATAGGTTAGATCACTGGAACGAGTCACTACGAGGTTTGAATAACCCGAGGGGGAGGGGTGAGAATGACGCAATAGTGACCGAGGCGGAGCCGAGGTCACTATTGCGTCATTCTCATCCCGACCCGCGAGGGTTTTCAAACCGAGGAGACGAGTTCAGTGGTCTAACTGGCTTAGAACCGCGGCACGGAGAGCGCAGTTTCGCTTAGTCTTTTCGATTCGAGGATCAAGTATAAAGAACGGCACCGCGCACTAATTGAAAGGGGTGTGGTCATACGTGACTCTGGCGCTATCGCGCGACGCATAACGTAATCGTGTGCGTAGTATAGCGTCGTAATTATACGAAGGGAAGCTGCAGTGTTTCGCAACATAGATGGCAAGCAAACGCATGCGTAGGTTTTTAGCGGGAGATTTGAGCGGCAAAGACTCAGCTAAGCTAGCCTCCGTCGAGCATCAAGCCTGCCGAGCGTATCTGTGGCAAGATGGCACTGTCACTGATACACTTTGGAGAGATAGTCTTTGGAGGGGTCGATGGAATAATTCATTTCATGCGCAGACATGGCCTACTTGCACGTAATGCTGACTGCCAGCATAATACTTTACATAAAATAATATATAAATGTAACTCAGATGCTCTGTGAAAATCAATACGTCAGGGCAGTTTCTTCACCAAGTCGCGGCTTCCACTGAAGAAGTGGCTTCTTTTGATGCACTTTTTTGGCTGCGCCAGTTCTCTGTCACCACTGCTGCACTTGATGCAGATATTAGTAAAAGTACAGCCATTGATGTCTACCAGTGGTTTCGGGAAGTGTGCACAACTAACCTACACAACACTCCGATAGTGCTTGGGGGAAATGGTGTTATAGTAGAAATAGGTGAATCTTTATATCTTGCACAGCTCGCTTTTCATCGCTGTCACCAACATTACAAAACTACGCTATACTACGCCCACGATTACGTTATGCGTCGCGCGATAGCGCCAGAGTCACGTATGACCACACCCCTTTCAATTAGTACGCGGTGCCGTTCTTTATACTTGATCCCTTTTCGATAGTGTGCAAGATCCGACCCGTTACCCAGTTTGCTCTGCCTGCCAGAATTTAGGCTCGTTGGCCCATTTGCTCATAGCTTTCGAGACTGCAGGGACGCGTTCATCGTATTAGCCATCGCAGCAACTGGACGGATATATCCTGCGAGCCCCGCCGGAGCAAGACAGCTGCACACTGGAGCGCTCAGCCCGCGTCGCTTGATCTGGACGCGATTTGTTGTTTGTCGCTAGTCAGACGTTGAAATCAGCTACGTGGCTCTACCGCGCGCCCGGGAAACGCCTGACTAGCGACCAACAACAAATCGTCCAAGCGACGCGGGCTGAGCGCTGCGATGCCTGTATGATGGCGGCAGCCTCGAAGCTAGGAGCAAATGGGGTCTCCCACTCCTTGATTATTATGGATTTGACCTTTGTGAAACCTCAGTGATCTAAATTGATCTAAATTGATCTAACTTGCAACTTAGAGACTTAGTACTTCGATACCTGGCAGACCTAGTACTACGGGTTTTAGACACTTGATTACTACGCTCAACATCAAAGGGAATTATTCATGAGAGGTTCTAAATACTAAGTACTACCGTACTTAGTGATAACTGACAAAATCTGTCACCTGAAATGTTCAACACTGTTTGAATATTACCAGATATTGAAGATCTACTATGGCTCCATGTTGTAATGAAAAGAAGTGCAAACCCTCGGCGAACTGCGCATATATACGCGATACTGCTCACGTCGCGAGTCTGACACGGGCTAGCTACAGTAGTAGATAGCATGCGGGAGTCGATACATGCCGTTCGTTGTGACTTTCTGAGCCCCAGAGCGAGCGGATCAGGTCTCGGTAAGCCAAGGACGATTATGAACGTTGCGGATATACCTTGCTCAATTTGTTGTCCAGACTGGAGAGACCAACAATGACTGAGGAGAGAAACGCTTGCTCGTCAAAGGTCAACTAAACCACCATGCGGAATCTAGCAGATACGCATGCTCCGGCAAACGACATACGCGCGTGCGCGATGGATCGCTCGCTCCGGAAACGAACAACCACAACGCGGCGAGCGCGAGATCGCTCGCGTAAGCTTTTTTCACGCCATATCTCTCGAACGCAGTCGTTTCGGGAAAATCGCCACATTGATATCAATCTTCTCGTCGTTCACAACCCGTAGGTACCACTCATTGGCCGCCTCGTAGCCTGTAGTGCTAGAACTCGCGAGGACAAACAGACAGACAGACAGACAGAATGAAAAGCACTGAAGTGCAAACCCTCTGCGCACTGTGACGCGACGCGTAAGTAAACGCATGCGCCGTACCACTAACTGATGGGCTGGGTTTAGTTTTAGCTGTTACTCATGGTCTCTTGCCAGCTCGCGCAGAGTCTGACGCGGGCTAACTACACTACCAGATAGCATGCAAGAGGCGATACACGCCCTGCGTTGCATCTTCTGGTGCCTCCGAGGTACGCAGAGCACGCGGATCGATCAGACCGGGGTAAGCCATCCCGTCCGTTGTGTATTTGCATATTGCCTTTTTCGCGCTGTAGCTCTGCAACGGAGCATTTTCAGAGAAAACCCCACATATTTTCTGACCTTCGTCGCCCGTTCAGTAGGTGGTATCCTTTGTGAGACGAACAGACATTCGAGAGGTGAGATGTAGAGTAACGGACAGACAGACAGACAGACAGACCCAATGAAAAAGCACTAAAGTGCAAACCCTCGGCGAACTATGCATGCGTGGTAGCACTAATTGATGGGCTGGGCTTTGTATGCGTTTACTCGCAGTCTCCCGCGTTAGTGGCTCGCAGAGAGTCTGACACGGGCTAGCTACAGTAGTAGATACATGCGAGAGTCGATACATGCCATTCTTTGTGACTTCTTGTGCCTTCAAGATAGATAGAGCCCGGGGTAAGCCTGTGCTAAATATAGCGCATGCGCATTATCAGCAGCGATAAAATGGCGACTACCGGCATGCCATACATTGCTGGAAGCGCTCTAGCTTTGCAACGGAGCATTTTCAGAGAAAACCCCACATATTTTCTGATCTTCGTTGCCCGTTAAGCAGGTCGTATCCTTTGTGAGACGAACAGACGTGCGAGGAGTGAGATGGCGAGTAACGGACACACAGACCCAACTACAGTAACCCTCGCTGCGCATGCTCGCCGAGGGTTAATGAAAAGCACTGAAGTGCAAACCCTCGGCGCACTGTGAAGCACACGCGTAAGTAAACGCATGCGCCGTACCACTAATTGATGGGCTGGGTTTATTTTAGCTGTTACTCGTGGTCTCTTGCCAGCTCGCGCAGAGTCTGACGCGGGCTAACTACACTACTAGATAGCATGCGAGAGGCGATACACGCCCTGCGTTGCATCTTCTGGTGCCTCCGACTATATACGCGAGCACGACCGCGGTAAGCATCCCCGTCCGTTGCGTATTTGCATATAAGCGCTCTAGCTTTGCAACGGAGCATTTTCAGAGAAAACCGCCTTTATTTTCTGACCTTCGTCGCCCGTTGGGTAGATGGTACCGTTTCTGGGACGAACAGACGTTCGAGAGGTGAGATGTAGACAAACAGACAGACAGACAACCCAACTACAGGACCATCGCACTGCGCATGGCGACGCCGAGGGGAATAAAGGGCGAAACCCTCGGCGCGACTGACATGCGCGGCTGTGGGACCGCGATGATGGTTACTTCTTCTCGGACGCTATGAGTACTGTAGTATACTCGTGGTCTCCCGGCTAGTAGCGTGCTAGCTACAGTAGACTAGTACGAGGCATGTGTGGGAGTCGATACACGCCATTCGTTGTGACTTCTCGTGACTTCAAGTACAGAGCAGCCTATGAGCGCATGCGCCTTTTCCGCAGCGATAAAAATCGCCACGCTAGCATTAGCCGTACAATGGCGGAAGCGCTCTAGCTCTGTAATGGAGCATTTTCAGAGAAAACTGTTCGAAATTTCTGACCTTCATTGCCTGTTAGGTAGGTCGTATCGTTTGAGAGACGAACAGACATTCGAGAAGTGAGATTGAGAGTAACAGACAGACAGACAGACAGACACACAGACAGACAAACCCAATGAAAAGCACTAAAGTGCAAACCCTCGGCGAACTGGGCATGCGCGGTACCGCTAATTGATGGGCTGGGCTGCTATTAGTATGTAGTATACTCGTGGTCTCCCGCTAGTAGCGTCTGACACGGGCTAGCTACAGTAGTAGATTGCATGTGGGAGTCGATACACGCCCTTCGTTGTGACTTCCCGTGCCTTCAAGATACACAGAGCAAGCGGACCCGAGCCTGTTCAAATTATAAGCGCATGCGCATTTTCCGCAGCGATAAAAATGGCCGACTAGCATTAGCCGTACAATGGCGGAAGCGCTCTAGCTTTGCAACGAAGCATTTTCAGAGAAAACGGTTCGAAATTTCTGACCTTCATTGCCCGTTAAGTAGGTCGTATCGTTTGTGAGACGAACAGACATTCGAGAAGTGAGATTGAGAGTAACAGACAGACAGACAAACCCAACTACAGTACCCTCGCTGCGCATGCGCGCCGAGGGTAATGAAAAGCACTAAAGTGCAAACCCTCGGCGAAGTATCTCGCAGAGAGTCTGACACGGGCTAGCTACAGTTGTAGATAGCACGCGATAGTCGATACACGACACTCGTTGTGACTTCTTGTGCCTTCAAGATAGACAGAGCAAGCAGACCCGGTCCTGTGCTAAATATAAAATATAAGCGCATGCGCATTAACCGCCAGCGATAAAAAGGCGACTACAGGCATTTGCCATACAATGCTAGAAGCGCTCTAGCTTAGCAACGGAGCATTGTCAGAGAAAACCGTTCGAAATTTCTGACCTTCATTGCCGGATAAGTAGGTTGTATCGTTTGTGAGACGAACAGACATTCGAGAAGTGAGATTGAGAGTAACAGACAGACAAACCCAACTACAGTACCCTCGCTGCGAATGCGCGCCGAGGGTAACTACAGTAACCCTCGTTGCGCATGAGCGCCGAGGGTCAATTGAAGTACAAACCCTCGGCGCACTGTGACGCGCACGCGTCAGTAAACGCATGCGCCGTACCACTAATTGATGGGCTGGGTTTAGTTTTAGCTGTTACTCGTGGTCTCTTGCCAGCTCGCGCAGAGTCTGACACTACTAGATAGCATGCAAGAGGCGATACACGCCCTGCGTTGCATCTTCTGGTGCCTCCGAAGTACGCAGAGCACGACCGCGGTAAGCCATCCCGTCCGTTGCGTGTTTGCATATTAGCTTTTTCACGCTCTAGCTTTGCAACGGAGCATTTTCAGAGAAAACCGCCTTTATTTTCTGACCTTCGTCGCCCGTTGGGTAGATGGTATCGTTTCTGGGACGAACAGACATTCGAGAGGTAAGATGTAGACAAACAGACAGACAGACAGACAGACAACAAACCTACAGTATATACCCTCGCTGCGCATGCACGCCAAGGGTAATGACAGACGACTACTGCAACCCTCTTAGCGCATGCGCGCCGAGGGTTAATAACTTGTCCACCACCTCCACATGTCCATTCCGAGATGCAAGCATCAGTGAACTCCACCCATTCTGACGTGACACACAGAGTAGTAGGTGGCAAAAAACGGTTTTGATTCATTATCCATGATAAACCAATCTGAATCGTAGTTTCAGTTAGTTTTCACGCCATAAGTCTGGAACGCAGTACTTTTACGAAATTCGCCAAATTAAAAATCAAGCCAGTGTAGCGCTGAACCTTTGGTATCACTCTTTATTGCGTGTGGTGGCAGAAAACGTTGTAACAGATGGACAAACCATAGATAATGATCCTAATAGTCACCAATATAGTACATATGTAAAGCTGTGGTGAGTGGAGCTATATGCCATTGGCATTTTCTGGTAAAAACAAAGACATTGGGGCTGGCTTCTCAAGCAATGAAGCCACATGTTTCTATGCTATTTTGAAAATGATGGATGCTACATGTAATAAAACAGAATGCAATCTGCTGTGTTGCTGATCGCGCACCTGACCTAGATGACAGACATTCTCAGAGAGCTCATAGTACGAAGAATGCATGTTCCCTTCCCTCATGTTCTG